GGGGGGGGGGTGTTCACTGAGATTTAAATGCTTCCAGAATTTGACTGCTTATTTATGTATTTTTATAATTTGTGAATGTTTGCCTGACTCTCCCCTGCATGCATTATTTGTATATATAGAGCAGACGTTTAATTTAAGTGACGCCAGCGGCTGCAGATCATTCCAGACTGAATGCAGGTTTATTGGTGTAGATGTTGAATAACGTCCGTTTGTCTCACTCCACGCTTTTGAGAAAGATGTCGCTTTCATTTACTTTCAGTGTACATTGATTTAATTAGGTTATAGGTTTTACTTCCTAGACCCCTTTCAAAATGTTTGTAAAATAATCCTTGGTGCCAGATTGAATCCAATGAAGTTCATAAAACATGCAAACATTTTGCTTGTTATTTTAACAAGCATGTTATTCAGTAAAAATCTAATCTGACTAATAGTCTGTGTGTTGCGATGAAGTCCAGGAGTTTATTATACTACATAATAACTTTTACAGAAATATCTCTCTGTAATTACTGGCTCTCCGTTTTTAAAGACGATAGCTGTTATCAGTGCTTGATTCCTGATGAATCAGAGATGTGACCGACATCCACACATTTAATTACGGTCGATTGGAATTTAGTGCTGCTTTGTTTTATCATTTCATTCAACATCCCATAAGATCCAGATGCTAAGTCTAATGGATTTTAGTTATCTTTGATTGTAATTACTGTGAGTTGATTTATATTGTGCTTTTGTGGTTCTGAGTATATGTTTGGGTTCTATGGTGTGTTTCACAGTAGAGCAGATGAATCTCTCTTGTGTTTCTGAATAGACAGTATTCTGAGATTTTCATGAACTTCTTGACATGAATCTTGGATGGATATAAGATTTAGTCCAGTTTTCTGAACAACATTTCTCAATGATCGGTATATTTTGTGCATTCTGTCAGAAAGTGGAGCTCTGTCTCAGTTTTGTTATGATCTCAACCTCTCTTTCAATGACAGCCATGTTTACCTGTGTCTGCTGGTTTCTATAGTTATGATGTGTCTTTGTTGTGTCTCTGTAGTGAGTTTGCACCTGCTCAGTGTTGTATCTGTTACTGCACTGAGGGTCTGTTGTGTCGTTCTGTATTTTTAGGGTCAGAGGAACCTGCAGGTTGCTGCTGCCTGTAGACAACATCACGTCTCACAGAGAGAGGAAGAGATGCTGCTTATGATGGATCTGTCCTATTGATTGTGAGAAAGACATTGAATCAGACCAGAGGGACAGCGGGGGATGAAGGAACCGATGCTGAGAGGAATAGAGAGTCAGGGAATGATGGCAGAGAGTATGAGAGTGAGTGAGTGGGAGGACAAAGGGACCGTGAGAGGAAGGGGAGGGATACTGTGTGTTCTTTTATAGTTCTGAAGCAAAGTGAATGATCTATTCACTGTCGTGCACAGATGCTTTGTGTGTGTGTGTGTGTGTGTTTCATTGCATTAGATTGTACAGTATTTAGTGAAATCAGTGCAGTCAGTTTGGTTATCCACATGTCCGCAAGAGTGAAAACCTCAGCAGTTCTGATGTATTAAACCCAGTTCAGTCACCATATAATAATCACCCTTTCTGTTTATCGAAGCGTGCTCTGCGATAATGGTTGACTGCATGATTTAAGTGAGTGTGAAGAAGTGTTTACTCATGCCAGTGTCAGGTGTTTTCTGTGGATTTGTGCTTTCCAAAGAAAAAAACATACACATCTTGTAGACCAAAGCATCCAGTCATCTTGACTAAAAAGACAATGTTTCAAATCTCTTTATTTCCCTTATGGATGATTGAATAGGATGAACACAATCTGTGGATCAAAAAAACATACATGCTTCACAGGACGTACAACACTGTAAACTTTTGCCATGTTTACTCTACAGAATCGCAATATTTTTATTGTATGTGACCCTGGACCACAAAACCAGCCATAAGCAGCACGGGGTTATTTGCAATAGCCAAAAATACATTGTATGGGTCAAAATTATCGACTTTTCTTTTATGTCAAAAGTCATTAGGATATTAAGTAAAGATCATGTTGCATGAAGATATTTTGTAAATTTCCTACCGTAAATATATTAAAACTTAATTTTTGATTAGTAATATGCATTGCTAAGAACTGCTAAGAAAAGGCCATTTTTTTTTGCACCCTCAGATTCCAGATTTTCAAATAGTTGTATCTC